TCAATTCATGTATAGGACACTTTTAAAATTCATTCTTGTGATTTGTTCTCTCTCTAGGGCTTATCGCCGCTAGAACATATCTCTGTTATTGACACATTCGAGGAGCGGCTTTATCACACATGCGACGCAGAGCTCAGTGACGGAGGGGTAATCAGTTGGATGAGGGGCTTTGACGACAGAGGGTGTTCGAAGACGGAAGGAAGCAATCAGTTCCAAGCTAGGCAATTGGCTGTTCTGATTTGGCAATTGTGGAGGCATGCCGATGGGGAGGGGCATCAGACTTGGCTAAACGCGGAGCAAATTAATGGAATCAATCATTAACCAGTATAAACAAATGGCTATTGGTGAGGGGACCGAGGAATTGGACTTGGATGAGGAGGATATTGGTGAGGTTGCAGTAGAAGAGGTACAACCGATGTTTCCGGTGGTTGGTACTCTATTAAGAGATAGGAAAATCAAGTTTCAGGAATATTAGTGAGGGCTTTGTTAAATATGATGATAATCAGTTTGAGGAACAATGGGAAGCTTATCTGCATATCAGAGTTTTTTTGGATGTGCGTAAACCCTTGAAAAAAGGAACATCTCTTAAGAAAGGAGTAGTTGGACACTAGATTGAATTCAAATATGAAAAATTGCTCAATTTTTGTTTTATTTGTGGGACTATTGGTCATTCTGGTAAATTTTGTCCTTTAACATGAGGACAATCTGGTATTGGAAAAATTGTTTGGGACTAGTCTGAGAGCATGTAGTGGGGTGAAGACTAGCCCAACAGGAGGAAATAAGTGGTTGGTGGAGGGCTCCTCGAGTGCAACCCGTAGTCGTTCTTTTCATAAGAATTTCAAGATGGGAGAAGGCCCACGAGGACAAGGCTGGAAGGATTCTATGATCGGCACGGGAAATAGTACAACTAAGGATGGGGACTTGGAAAGTACTGAGGAAGTGTCAGGAGAACAAAAGAGAAGAAGAATCTAGGAAGATCAGGAGCAGGAGGGGCTAGGCAAGGATTCTATGGCTGTTGACAAACCAAAAAACGGGGAGGAGGTGGGCTCAAATGCCTAAGTGTGCTGAAGACGCAGATGCAAGAAGTGGATTCAGGATGCTGTCTCGTCTTAGTGCTTTGTAAGACACACCATAGATTTTGTTTTGTCATTATGTTTGTTTACTTTGAGACTGAGAACTTTGTTATTTTTCAGTTTGTTTTTTCATGCATTGTAAGATTTTGAGCTTGGATTTGGGTGATGAGACATCTGCATTTATTATTTTTGGCTCAACTGTACTCATAAAATGGTCAATTGCAGTCTCTTTGTCCTTTTAACCCTTATCTGTATGCAGTGATATCTATTTAAGGCTTTAAGCTACCTATCCTCTAAAAAAAATCATGCATACATTCACTTTTTTGAGAAAAGGGGCAAATAAGCCCATGTACAAATAAAAAAAAAGGTCAAATAAGCCTTTATATAGGAGGCTCTGTCCGGTCGTCGTCATTTGAGGCGGTTCCCGGTGGAATTTTTTGAAATTTTCTTTTGAGCATCTTATTCATTAAGTCTAGTTTACTCATACTAAATTTCAGCTAACAATTCAATCGGAAAGGCATTCAAATCATCAAATGAATTCTTGAAGATAACTGCGCAGTTATCTTCAAGAATTCATTTGAATGCCTGTTTGATTTAAGTTTTAGCAGAAATTTGGTATGAGTAAACTAGATTTAATGATAAAGATGCTCAAAAAATTTCATCAAAAAATTTCACCAGGACCTGCTCCAAATGACGACGGCCGGACAGAGCCTCCTCCTATATAAGAGCTTATTTGCCCCTTTTCCCCACTTTTTTTAATGACTTTTAAATATTTTAGTCAATCACACCCCTATACTATCAAAAATATAATCTTACCCCCCTCCCTATCCATTAATGATGGTTAAATAACTCTTAATCTATATTTAGAGCAAATTATAGATATAATTTCATAACCTTTCATTATGTCGCTTTTAATACTGTAATTTTATTCAATCACAAATTTGGTCGGGTAATTAATAAATTTGTCCATACTAAATACATTTTTATCAAAAGTCGAACAAAATAAAAAAACCAAAACTGACCTCACTTTAGGTAGTTCGTTTTATGCCTTTAAATTTGTAAAGTTAGTAAATTTACTCAATTGAAAATGATCAAAATACGCTAAATTTATCAAAAATTGAAACAAATCAACTTAAATGAACCAAACCCACTCAAAAATGAAGTTTACTACTCAATTTTACCATTAAAAATTAAATGCAAGAAAATTTCCAATTTGCACTCTTTGTTATCACTGGAAATGAGATCATTATAGGTATAATAACAGCTTGTAAATTATTATTTAACCAAATATGAACATGTTTACATGTAAAAATACTGGTAAAACAATTATAGTTTAGGACGGGTTGCACACCCAAACTGGTTAGTGCTAAATAATTAGGGCGACCCGTGACCTTATATTCGGTTTCAATCTCCTAATTGGTCTAGATTCACTCCCAATAATTCAAATATTTTAACTACCTACTACCTCCGTTCCACTAAGATTGGGACGAGAGAAGGTGACACGATTATTAAGAAAAGTAGGTTTGTGTGGTTGATAAATTGATAAAGTAATAATAAAGTTAGAATGATTTAGAGCCACACAATCTTTACCAAATATGGTATGAGACAATTTTAGTGGGACTTCCCGAAAAGGTAAAGTGGGACAATCTTAGCGGGACGGAGGGAGTATTTTTCAACTTGTAAATGGGCTATAACCCATCTTAAAATATTCTCAATGGTTTTAATGAAAAAAATGAATGAGGTCAAAACAAGGGCTCCAATCCTGATCCCAAAAAGTGAGGCACGGGGCCTCTTTTTCATCGGTATGGTATCGGTCCCGATCTGAATTCTTAATTTAAAATTCGGCCATTCTCGAGATCGGGCCTTGTCCTCCCCGAACATGAATCACAAAAGTAGGGGCTTGTTTACTAACAGAAATATTTTCCAGTTTTCCAGAAAACTGGAAAACTGGAAAACAGAAAACAGGAAACGTGTTTACCAAAGAAATTCCTGCAAAACTGGAGAAAGGAAAAAAGAAAAACGTGTTTACCAAATCATTTTCCAAAACGGAAAAAATGAAACATGTCTCTCTTTTCCTTAATGATTTGGAGAAGTGACTTTTACTAGTTTTCCAAATTTGGAAAACGTAGATGCTACAATGCCTTTGCAATGAATTTGCATACTTACACCTAGTGGTGGGTCCGGTCCTGCTCCGATGTCGATTCCATTCCGGTACCTCCATCCTCGTACCCTACCCCTTACCCCTACCCTACCCTACCCTACCCACCAAACCCCCGCCTCACGTAGCCATTTTTCCCCATAATGACCTTACCCCACCCCCACCACATGCCCCGACCTCGGCCCCACCCCGTTCCGCCCTACCCTACTGCCACCCCCCTACCACCTTGACCCCACCTCGATCCACCCTACCCTACCGCCACCCCCTACCACCTCGACCCCACCCCGACCCACCCTACCCTACCCCCACCCCTCGTATATATATCCTTACCCTACCCCTACCTTACCCCTTACCACATGCCTCCTACCTCGGCCCCACCCCACCGCCATCCTACCCCCACCCTACCCTACCTCGGCCCCACCCGGATCCCGGGCCCACCCTACCACCATCCTATCCCAACTCCCTACCCTATCCCTACCTTACCCCAACCCCAAACCCTACCCACTACCCCCGCCATCCTACCCCCACCCTACCCCTTCCCTGGCCCCACCTTGGTCCCGACCCCACCCTACCGCCATCCTATCCCAACTCCCTACCATACCCCTACCTTACCCCAACCCCAAACCCTACCCACTACCCCACCCTTACCACCATCCTACCCCCCACCCTACCCCTTCCCTACCCCGACCCCATCCTGGTCCCGACCCCACCCTACCGCCATCCTATCCCAACTCCCTACCCTACCCCTACCTTACCCCAACCCTACCCACTACCCCACCCTTAACCTTAACCACGACCCTAACCCACCCACTACCAACCCCCTACCCCTAGACCTTACCACCCCACCCCATACCCCTTACCTCACCCCACCCATAACTTCCCTACCCCGACCCCTACGAGTAGGTATGGGTGGGTATGAAGGGTTGAGGTGGAGTATGGGTAGAGTGTAAGATCGTGGTAAGGGTAGAGGTAGGGGTCAAGGGTGTGGAATTGGAGAACTGTGTGAAAAAATTGATGAACATGTTTTCAAATTTGAAAATGGAAAACTAAAAAATAGAAACAGAAAATTGGAGATAGAAAAATTGAAAAATAAAAATAGAAAATTGGAGAACGAAAAACAAAAGTAGAAAACATGAAAATATCTCTCTTAGTAAACAGGCCCTAGGTATTTTGACCACTTTCCATACGAATCAACAATAGGTAACAATAGTTTCCTAAAAGTTCTTCACCAACATCTATTTTAGGTATAAAATAATATTCCTCGTTATTGGGCATCTTTCCCTCGTTAGAAAAGTTTCACCAAGATTTCTACAATCTCAGATATATTTTCGAACTCTTAAAAGTAATATATATATTTATTGATTTAAGTTTGTACCTTTTGATTGTGTCTGCTATTAGTTCTATAATTTTACTCACATGTAGATGTAGTTAAGTACCTAATAAATTTGTCAATAGTAAGGACTATTTCATCGGAAAGTATGTGTTCCTGCAAAAAAAAGTACTTTCTAGTAGAAAGATTCTTAATACAGTTATACAGGTAACTTTATTAAGTATCAAATTGAATCTGCAAGTGAGAAAATTTATAAAACTAATTTTATACTTTTGCTAAACGTAATTATGAGTTATTAAATTTTCATTAAAGGATAGGGTGGAGTAAACGCATATTTTCAAAAGTGTAAGGGTCTAAGTGATAATAAATCTCGAGGGAGGTAGATGATAATTTTCCCAACAAAAAAAGAAGTCGGATGGGTCAGACGACCCAGCTGTAGTGCCGTGGGTTCAAGTGTCGTGCATGCTTCTGTGTTCTCTCTGTAACTCTATTCTCTGCTTTGCACATTTGCATGCACATCTTTTTCTGTCTCTAGAAACACTACTTATTCTGCTCAAGCCGTTTAGTCTTCTTCAGGAATCATCCACTTCACCAGAACCTGATTGGCGCCGCCATTCTACCGTTTACTTCCGTTGACCCTTCAGATTCTGGTCAATATGCCTTGGGACAGCAAATTGAGATCGGTATTCGGTAAAGCTTGATGTGTTACGTTACATTCAACAGATTGAACGAGGTAACCTATGTAATCTTTTCTTTAACACAAAAAGTTATTAGCATTAAAATGGTCAAATAATGTCTTTGGGTTTGAAATTTTTATATCGGCGTTTAGGGTTTAAAATTGATCCTGGAATTTTTTCATGGACGGATAATACAGTGCCTTTCTGTTTCAAAGGGTTGATTTTTGGGATAATGGTGTCAAAATTTTGCTTGAACGAGTACTGTCGCTCAACGACGTCGTTTGAATGGAAACAAGGTTGGGGCTTGAAATCAGGTGGATTTGCTGCGCTCTGTTACAACTGCGGGTAAGCTGTGCGACCCTGTATTTTATTCAAATGCATTTCAGGACTGTGGAATTTAAACCTCTGAATGAGCTCATTGCCGGGGTGTCCGTTTTGCATGTTTGAATTTTGAATTTGATTTTGAATTTTTCCCTATTCTTGGGTTTTTCTGCTGTTGCACATTGTTAAAAGTTTACATTTCTCCCCCACCTTCACGGCCTCCACCAACAATTTTTCTTCTTCTTTGATTCTACCTCAAAACAAAAAGCAGGCCCCTTCATTGTGTACTAGTTAGGATATGTGGGCAAAAGTTAAAAGGCATAGCTTTTATATAGTCTATAGAAAGTGTTAATAAATCTAACTAATAAGATCACCTTACCTTCTCTTACTCCTAATACTTGTGTACTGTGCTTTCACTTTTCATTCACTTGCCTTCGTCTCAATAAGATGATTATCATTCAGGAAGTAAACAGAGTATGTTTCTTAAAAAAATTGCTTTCGGTATAACTGCCACTCTGCCACTCTTTTCTCAACTGTTTTTTGTACTTATACTGATATTTTTTGCTAAGAGGATTTTCTCAAAATTTAGGTGTTTTTATAAATTATTGCTATATTGCCAACTTAAAAAGTAAAATGTGGGGGAGAGGCAATCGATTTTGATTAAAGATTTCTTGGGATGATTTGACTCAAGGAATTGCTAACTGATAAACCATTAAAATTTCACATCATATGTTATTCATGCAAAGTGTGGATCTAAAAATGTATGCCTAATTTGCCACTATGTTTTATTCCCTATTTGTCTCTGAATATCCCATTCATGCTCCTGCTGACCTGCCCAAAGGCTAGGCATTAGGAACTAGGCCCAAGTGAACTACCTACCTAGTGTCTTATACTTTTTAGAAAATTGTTGTGGCTATCATTACATACGACTTGTATTTAACTTTTGAGGTTTGCTTTTGTTAAAAAACAATACTCCATCTGTCCCCATATTTGATATTCCCATTTCCCTTTGATTCCGTTTCCAAATTGTCTTCCTACTTTTTTAAGAAATGAATTGAATGGTTGGTATAGAGTGGGGGGAAAGTATTTATGATGTTACAACTTACACTGTTATGAGGGGTTGATTGGAATAAGTTTAATTAGAATTTATCAGGGAAGAAATTATAACTGTCAAAAATTCCCTTTGTAAAGTGAATGGCTTTGTGTGTCCAACTGTCCCAGATGAAGGAATGAATGTGGAAGAAGGGCTAGGCACGGAACATTTATTAGCAAGGGAAGGAATTGAAATTCTTTCAGAATAGATCATCTAGTGTACCAAACATTGGAATTATAGCATTATACATTTATACCACCAACCCTCCTTTACTAATTTGATTTCCATCATACCTCAAAGGCTAAATTCCAAAGGCAAGGAAATAAGGAATCAGTATTCATTAGGGAAAAGAAGGCTTAACATTCTTTGAGTATATTAGCCCCAAAGTCTGTTTATAATTTAAAAATAGGCTTTTTTCATTTCCTGATGCATTATTGTGCTGCAGTTAACCTACCTTCGTTAAAATTTTCAACTTATAGTTCTTTCTAATGTTTTTTATATTACATATAATGTGGGTGCCACATCTTGCCATGTTTAATAGGGCCTCCAAAATCAAGTAGCTAACCCCGCCCCTCTTGTACAAAACATACTACTAGAAGTACTAATATTGCTGGCTAATTGTGATCTTATTGTTCTGTAACTTCTGTGTCTAATTCATGAATTCTGGTTGTGTTATGGATGAGAGTTAGATCTGCATATGAAAAGGTAGCTTTTTGCGAGACATTCCACTTGGATGAATCTGGCTGGAGGGAATGCAGAATGTGTAGAAAGGCAAGTATGACTAACGATGGATAAGTACTGCACAATTTCATTCTCCTTTTGCTTCCTCTAACTGGATATCACACATGGCAGCGTATTCACTGTGGGTGCATCATGTCAAAATATCTGTTTGAATACATGGACTTTGGAGGCATTGGGTGTTTGAGCTGTACAAGGTGCTTGGGAGGTCACACTATATTTCCAGTACAGGTAAATATGTTGCAATGATGGTTTTGACTTCTCAGCAGTGTTTAAATGCATAAAAAAGTATTAATGAACTTATGCAGTAGTGAGATCCAGGCGAAAGGGGCAGAAGGATAAAACTTACTCTAATGTATGTTTAAAAACCCAACAAAGCATGTTATTGCAATGGTTAATGGTTATGCTGGGACTAGCACTGTAAGGGCATCTCCAATAAAAACCCCAAAAATCAGGTTTTCACTTGTTCTATGTGCCACATCACTACCACATAATCAATCACGCATCACGTAAAAACCTTACTCGTTTTATGGACCCTTCTCCACACGCCATAAACTCTCCATTTTTTTATCTAGGGGCAAACCTTTCTTCTTTCTTACCAAAACGTTTTTATGGATCCTCCATCAGTTCATAACGGTAATCTTATCATTTATTAGTTATTACTCTTTATATGTGCGATATTAGTATCAAAATAAATATCATGAAAATGGGATTAGTTTGATACATCTGTGTTAAAACATTATATGTACATACAAGAATACATGTGATAAATTTTGGCAGAAAGATATTTTTTTTGCTCCAAATAGGTTTTGCATAATGCCACATAGGTATCCCATTTTTATCCACAAGGTTGCTAAATATAGTGTTTTGGAAAGCATAAAGAGGATAGTAACTACAACAACTACATTACCCTAGTGCCGCAAAGGCTCCCACCTACGGTGGTGTAAGGAGGGTCGGATGTACGCAGCCTTACCCCTGTATTAAAGCACAGAGAGACTGTTTCCGGATGACCCATGATGAAAATCGGGTCGAAAATTGCAACGACCGATTGCTGTTTCATAACAAAGAATCGCGGACGGTTTAGTGAGTCATTTTGTTTTATTCCATCATATTCCCAAGAAAAAAAATAGTGAGTTTTTGGCTCCATTGGAAATTGTTTTATCCTCATAAAGAGGATAGCAACTGACAGGATAAAAATTGCCTAAGAAACGAGTTATAAAAATTGGGTGTTATGTCTCATGTTGTGTTTATGGAACTATGGAAGCAAAGAAAAAGCTAGTTGCGAGCTTTTTTGCATTCATAAAGTTGCATGACAACAAGAAACATAAAATTGTGCTTAGAGTATTGATAATCATGTAATTTCCATGTTTATGTTTGTGATTTTAAGTAGTTTTGATTGATTTTCACTTTGGAAATTACACACTTTTGGTGTAATAGTTTAGTTTGTTAAATTCTTGTAAATTGTTTAGATTAGGTTTATTCTGAGCTCAAACAGGTCTACTATCACTCAAAGGACAGTTGGTGAACCCCAAAAGTGGAAGGAAGGTGCAAAATCACAAGACAAAGGGAAGATCCTGATTTTTTGGTCTATACCCGGTCGAGTATCATCTATACTCGATCGGGTATCTTGTTGAAATTTCAAATCGGATCGGATCTGAAGACAAAGGAACATGCAGGGAAGATTTTGACCACAATCGAGTGTCTATACCCGATCGAGTACACCGACATACTCAATCGGGTATGCATATAAATAATACTCCGAATTCGATCGAGTATGGGTCGAATTCGAGTTTCTACACATACTCGATCGGGTACCTGTATATACCCGATCGAGTACCCGAACTGCATCCCTAAAAAGCCCATAAATACACCCCCTTTCCTTCACAATTAGAGACCAATTCACATATACTTCTTAGCTCAGTTTAGACAAGTTCTTTCTTTATATTTTTCATCATGTTTAGTCTCCAAATGAGGAGCTAAACTCTTCCATCTTGGTTTTGCTACTTTGAAGCTTAATGAATTTGTAAGTTGTGAGTTATTCTCTTTAATCTTCTTCCTTGAATATTAATTCTTCCTTTAAATACTATTTCTATATTAATGTTGGGGAGTGTTACTAAGATGACAATTAGTTAACATCTTGACAGTAATCATAGTAATAGCTATTCCTTCCTCTATGTTAATATTGGGGAGTGTTACTAAGATGACAATTAGTCAACATCTTGATATTAACTATATTAGGATTCATCTTCTTTAATATTCTTCCTTGAGTATTAATTAATTCCTATTAATATTCCATATTAATATTTTGAGCATTACTTAAAGGATCAACTAGTTTTGTTTCATATATTAATTATTACTAGAATCAATCAGTTAATACGCTTGTTATTAATTCCTTGTTATTAATTCGGTTCTTTCAAGGGTAGTAAACTTGGATTGTTAATGCATGCTTCTCATGGTTAATAAGCCAAGAGGAATTAATTATATTGATTAAATCAAATAAACCGCTTGCGTTGAAGTTATCAATCTCAATCGTTTTCATCTTAAGTTTATTGCTACTATCAAGTTAATATACGGCGCTAGTTCTATATTGACTCGATAGTAAGTTTTATTAATGAACGCATCTCGCTATTAATAACTACCCTCGATAAACTGGATATACTCCTCGATTGAGTATTCGAGAGGAAGATAGTTAAAGATATAACCGGGATCGACGAACATTTCATTAAGTGGATAAAAGCAAAACCAAGTTTCCTTCTCATTAATTAAACCACATAACTCGTTCATCTTCGTGCTTAAATATAATTTAAGTTCATCAACCAATCATAAAACCTTCCCTTGTTACTTATTTCTAATTCTATAAAAAGAGAATGTGTTCCTTTCCCTGTGGATACGAACCTTACTACACTATACTACGTATTAGTGTCGTATTGATATTTATTTTGAGTGCATACACGACAAAGTGCACGTCAAATTTGAGGCTTGGTTTTGCTTTTATCCACTTAATGAAATGTTCGTCGATCCCGGTTATATCTTTAACTATCTTCCTCTCGAATACTCAATCGAGGAGTATATCCAGTTCATCGAGGGTAGTTATTAATAACGAGATGCGTTCAATAATAAAACTTACTATCGAATCAATATAGAACAAGCGCCGTATATTAACTTGATAGTAGCAATAAGCTTAAGATGAAAACGATTGAGATTGATAACCTCAACACAAGCGGTTTATTGGTTTAATCAATATAATTAATTCCCCTTGGCTTATTAACCATGAGAAGCATGCATTAACAATCCAAGTTTACTACCATTGAAAGAACCGAATTAATAACAAGCGTATTAACCGATTGATTCTAGTAATAATTAATATATGAAACAAAACTAGTTGATCCTTTAAGTAATACTCAAGATATTAATATGGAATATGAATAGGTAGTAATTAATATTCAAGGAAGAAGATTAAAGAAAATAACTCACAACTTGCAAATCATTAAGCTTCAAAGTAGCAAAACCAAGATGGAAGAGTTTAGCTCCTCATTTGGAGACTAAACATGATGAAAAATATAAAGAAAGAACTTGTCTAAACTGAGCTAAGAAGTATATGTGAATTGGTCTCTAATTGTGAAGGAAAGGGGGTGTGTTTATAGGCTTTTTAGGGATGCAGCTCTGGTACTCGATCGGGTATATACAGGTACCCGATCGAGTATGTGTAGAAACTCGAATTCGACCCATACTCGATTGAATTCAGAGTATTATTTATATCCATACCCGATCGAGTATGTCGGTGTACTCGATCGGGTATAGACACTCGATCGTGGTCAAAATCTTCCCTGCATGTTCCTTTGTCTTCGGATCCGATCCGATTTGAAATTTTAACAAGATACCCGATCGAGTATAGATGATACTCGACCGGGTATAGACCAAAAAATCAGGATCTTCCCTTTGTCTTGTGATTTTGCACCTTCCTTCCACTTTTGGGGTTCACCAACTGTCCTTTGAGTGATAGTAGACCTGTTTGAGCTCAGAATAAACCTAATCTAAACAATTTACAAGAATTTAACAAACTAAACTATTACACCAAAAGTGTGTAATTTCCAAAGTGAAAATCAATCAAAACTACTTAAAATCACAAACATAAACATGAAAATTACATGATTATCAACTCCCCCACACTTAGTTTCTTTACTCGTCCTCGAGTAAAGTCAAATGTTCACAAGTGTCAAATCTTCCAAAGTTTCAACAATTTTAACAAGATAAAAACACAAAGACCACCAAGGATAAAACATGAGTTTTAATGCTCAAATTGCAAATATCATCTTGGGTTTTATGGCCTTCTAGTGCTCATCTTCTCTTCTCCTCCTCTCTTCTTCTTTTTCTTCTTCTTCTTCTCCAAAGAGATCAACTGAGTGCCTGCAAAAACAAATATTTCTCTCATATCTCTCATTTTGCCTAGGAGCCTTTTCAGGTTTTTATCCTAGCATCTCTTTTCATTTTCCATTCTCCCCACTCACTCATTTTTTATAAGCCCTTTTTGCTTAGATTGCCCATTTCGTTGGGTTTTCAACCTAACTAGCATTTCTTTTCTTTTATTTATTTATTTTTTTTGTTTTTTTTAAAGAAATTTATGCATAGTAAAAGGTAGAAAATAAGATTACATACCCATGATGAGTCTCCTCCCCACACTTATGTCAAGCACTGTCCCTAGTGCCCACCATCGCCACCATAGTAGCTGCCTCCAAAGCCGCCTCCAAAGCTCCCGTCGCCCATGTGAGCATCTCCGTCGTCCCCGCCATCATAACCTCCACCCCCGGAGCTAGATCCTCCAAAGTTACCCCAATGAGTGGGGTCATACCAAGAGGGAGGTGGGGGTGGTTGAGCCATAGTATGGAATGAGCTTTGATGCGCCATGTAAGAGTACATAGGTCCATAGAACCTACTTGATCTTCTTCGTACCTCCAGTTGTCTTCGACCCGTTGCTCCTCAAGTCTTTGAAATCCCGCCCTTTGTTCCTCCCGATACTTTCCAACTTCGTCGGTAACTTTGTTGAATCCTTCAAGTAGTTGTTGGAAGTAATCGGGTGGTGGAGGGACTTGGTTCTGTTCGGGGATGTCCGCGTCCATGTCTTCATGATCATGGGGTCCGGCATAAGGCCCGCCCTCGGGTTAGTCTTGTTGAGGTTCTTGGAGATTTGGTGGAAGGGCGTGTGGGAAGAGGTAGTGGGGCACCTCTACCTCCAGTTTGTAGAGTATTTTGGGGAGGTCTGGGCTAGGCATTAGGAAGTGTTTGATAGGTTGGAGGTGTATGATCCAGTTGTACATGTTTTTCGGTTGTTCCCCATCATAAACCGTATGGGAAAAAGCTGTGCATCCCGAACGGCCTAACCAAGCCATATCCATCAAACAATAGTCGGGTATAGGAGAGTTATCCGTATACCCGAACTTACTCACCAAGTGCATGA